GCGTCTCCCGGGGGGGCAGCCCGGGGAGACACGGAGCAGCTTTTCTTGCCCGGGAGTACACGGGCAGCGGGACCGCGCGGTCCCGCAGTCCGTGTTCGTAACTGCGGATCCGACGTAAGTCGGATCCGCGTAAGTCGGGGACTGCCTGTATCCTATTTTGAAAAAAACAGGGTCTAAATGGGGTTATTTCAGAAAAAAAATCCTTCTTTTGAAATAACCCTTACTCCTCAAAAAATAAAGTTTGAGGGTTATTTCAAAAGAAGGGTTTTTATTCAAAATAACCCCATCTAGACTGTGGGAAATTCAAATCCGTGCTTCATTTGCAATTTTGCTTGGCTGCATTTGCATTCCTCTCTCAAAAGAGGAATGCAGTGTAGACTTACCCCAGGAGAGTAGTGAAACACTGGAATGGGTTACCTAGGAAGGTGATAGAATCTCCATCCTTGGAAGTTTTTAAGTCTCAGCTTGATAAAACCCTGGCTGGAATGATTTAGTTGGGGTTGGCTTTGCTTTGGGCAGAGGGCTGAATTCCATGACCTCCTGAGGTCTCTTCCAGCCCTAGGATTCTATGGAATTACATAGTTTGTATTTTAATATTGTTTTAAAAGGTTAAATGCTTACTTAAATGGAAGTACATAGATAAAATGAAATGTACTACAGTATTTTATTATGGTAGCATTAAGTGAAAAAGATTCAAATTAAGAAATGTAAAGTAATAGTGTACTTTTTATTTAAATGTTTTCAGCTTGCCATGTGACTTCTTGTATTTGAAAGATAATGTAGGCTTCTAGAGTGCTACCCTACTGCTTGTTATTTGTATCTATTAAAGTTACAGGGAAATGAGTTGGAAATATTTTCTAAATCCTTAAATGAATATGTGAGCGATCAAAGAAGTTGGGGATTCATAATGGGGATTAATGTACTTCTTAGACCTCTTTGAGTGATTCTGTACTTCTATTCCACTTCTATTCTATTCTGTTCCATAACAGGGGTCAGGAAACTCAGGCTCAGGGGCCAGAGGTAGTCCCCAGCTTGCCAGAATCTGACCCCGAGGCTTGGGGCTCCCCCCAGCATTGGGGATCCTGTGCTAGTGCTCCAGCACTGATCCTCACTGTATCCTTGTGGCCCTGGAGCACACAAACTCTATTAGCCTCGGCCCCCTTAGGCTCTGGTATGAGAGGGGGATATGTTGAGTGTCTTTCTCCTTCTCAGTCAGGGAGCCACTTCAGTGAGGGTTTGAGGGTTTTTTTGTTTTGCTTCTCACTTGTGCATGGCCTCCCACTGATTTTCCTGTGGGTCAGTAACCCTGGCCCAAACAAGGTTCCCTACTCCTGCTCTGTAGGTATGTGCACTGTGTCGAGAGGTTTTTCCCAGAAGTACTTAATGGGGCGGCCATGCATGAAACCTTCCTTCCCTTGTTCCCAGAGCTAAGGCTGTAGATGGGCCATCTCCATCAGTTCCTTCTTACTGTCAGTGGTTGGAGCACATTTTTCTGCATTTAGTGCATCCTCTTATTATAGAAAACAAAAAGCCTTTATGTACTTTGTGAGGTTGTTTAATGGCACTCATCCATCCCTTTGAAAATGTCTTTATTTTCAATTTCACTTTGTTTCCCCTTCAAATTAGGGGGCCTCCAGCCCTTCCCAGTTCCCCCTGGTGGCCACTCTGGGCCAAACCAGGAAAACTCCTCTCTTCTCCCCCAGCCCCGGGGCCCTTAAAGGGGTAGACTCTGGCCAGACGGCACTTGCCAGAGCCAGGCCTGCCAGTAATCTCTGCCCTGACCTAGTGACGCCAGGATGAGCCAGGCAGCCAGTGACAGCCAGCTGTCCCTCGCCCAGTCCCCCAGCACCCAGGGGGC